GAATTGATGGAACAGAATTATAGAGCGTGGCTTAAAGTATATAAAATAACCTCAGTCAAAAATACTAAGAGCAGTGACTGGTGCTTCGTGGTATATTAGGAATGAAATTAACCAGCGAGTACTACAAATTCTCTTAGTTAAAGCTGAATTTGACAATATACCATAAGAAATAAATACAATAAAAGGCTGACAGAACATATTAACCCCTTAGCAAGGAATCTCTCACTTCTATCTATTACTTCCTGCCTAAAGAGACCTGACCGTCCAGAGAGCTGTATATATTGCATACATAGTTAGGGACTCTTCACTCTATTTTTAATTTTAAAACGATTCCTTGTAGTAACCCAATATGTACTTGAAAGTCAAGAAAAATCTGGCGAATATCTAGCTAAAAGCATTTCGGGCATTATTTTAATCCCTTGGTGGTTTGTCTTAGCAGAACAAATCTTGATATCCGTTTTATTTATGGAGCTAACCACTTCTCTAATTGTTTAAGAATGCTTTTGGAATTTATATTTTAAGTTGATCTTGTAGAATTGATTGTTTCTATTATTTTTCTGTTGAAATGAGTGAAGATATAGGTATATAGGTTTATAGGTATGTCGAAAATCGTGCAGCTGTATGGGATGAGGAACCCTTATCAGGATGGTTTCCTCCTGATTCAGGAGTTAAACAAGGGAGCGTACTGAGTCCGATTCTGTACTCACTTTATATAGATATATAGATATATTTATATATTTATATATTATATTCACTTTATATAGAAGATGTGTAACCATCTATCTGGAGGCGCATCTATAAATGGTGTAAATATTAAAGCTCTTTTGTATGCAGATGACATCGTTCTCCTAGCAAATAGTCCCGATTGTTTACAAATTATGATAAACGAACTACACAGTTACTGTAAGCTGTGGGGGTTAACAGTTAATATTGAGAAATCAAAAGCGCTAGTCTTTAAAAAGCATCACAGGCGATATACAAATGAAGAAATGTCCATATTTTAGGGGGAGAAAATGTAGAAATAGTTAAGAAATATAAGTATCTTGAAACATGGATGTATTATAATGCTACATTTAATAGAAATTTACCTGAAAAATTTGAAAATAAAGACGTACCGTTCAAAACAAAATTTTAACTCTACGAAGCTACTACAAGATCATTATTGTGCTATGCGGCTCAGGTATGGCGAGTGCTTCAATATGAGGAAATAGAAAAACTTTTACGATTTTTTGTAAAAAAAATATGGCGATTACCGCTTAACACATCAACCGAATGATTTATCTGGAGACTGGCTTGTCACCTCTGTACTTGTACACTTTAGCAATCCACTTCAAGTATATGTTAGAAGTTTTTAACATGAAAAGCTCGCGGTCACCTTAAATCTTAGCTATTTCTCTACTGCAAGAAAAGAGCCACTTTTTTAAAACGTGGGCTGATCTAGCAACGGTTCACGGTGAAACGCAGATAATCGACAACATACCATACATTCGTGGAAGCAGTGGCAGCAAAATATATTAATAAAAATCGGTACTGCGTTTAGAGAAAAGTTCATAGCAGAAAGTCGAAAAAGCTTAACTCGTGTTTTACACAGCCAACTTAATTTTGACTTAGGCAAAACAATTACTTCACCGAACGTTTCACTGCTGAAGCGATTGGATATATCCTCAAAACTCGAGGAGAACTGTTAAAGCTCAACTGCGCTCCCTATATGAACTCGTCAGACCCGAGATGCACACTATGCAATACTGGAGAAAAGGAAGATGTAATACATTTTCTTAGTAAATGTCCAATTTTAATGGAGTTCCGGGTTCATTATTTTGGAAAACAAACGTTAGATATGAACGAGTTAATGAGGCTGCTAAATGGTGAAAACTGGCATATGACATCGATCTAAGTGAAAACGGCAATGCGTTATAGAGAAAATATTATATTAGAAACTTTCTAACACTCATAGGCTGAAGTTCTCAATGTGTCACTCATATGATAGTTACTGCAATGAAAAAAAGCAACAAACACAAATCCAAACTTCCGATTGACAGCGAAGCCATAATCGTATAAGGAAAAATTAGAAACTAGTTATTTCAATTAAATTAGGTTTTACTAATTTTTAGTCTAATTATTTATAATGTTTATAATATTGATGTTTTGTATATTATGAATTATTAAAAATGTATAAAGTAAAATGAACTTTATGAACTGTAAATGTAAATAAAACCTCTATAAAATAAAGAAGAATAGTACTACTACAACTAAACTTTCAACCTACGACAGCTTAGGTGTTGTATACAACTAAAATCAGAACTAGGAAGCTTCTAGTGCTGAACAGAAATGCCATCCGACTTGTCACAGGGTTTTTCACTGGACATTGTGGAGTTGAAAAGCATTTATCGAACCTAGGTATTAATAGAAACGATAGCTGCAGACTGTGTTGCGAAGAAGAGGAAGCAGCAGAATATATTCCGTGTTACTGTGATAGTCTTGCCAAACTCAGACTTCGGTACTTAACTGCCTATCCACTTATAATGGAATCAAGCGACATTTCTCAAAAGGGCATAATAGTTTTATTAACTGCTACTCGCCTATGGAACTAAAGTAGGTTTGTTACAATAACTTTCAAAGGATGTGACATGATGAAAAGTTCCCAATGTCTAAGGTCTGAAAAATCTACAAAGCTTATTATAAAGTGTAACGCAAAATAAATTTGATGATAATGAAGGATCTCGTAGTATTGTTAGCCAAGAAAATATTCACTTAAATCAAAGATATAAAAGTATTTATAGAAATAAAAAATTTTCGCCCGATGTTGGAACAAATACTAAGCAGCTTTATGCATTGTTTTCATTTTATATTAATAAAACTTAATACTATACTTGACATTACACTGTTTTTATACACCGGAATATAATTATATTGCTAATAACAAGCACATAAGTGCCGTATAGAAACACATTTTAGGTAATATGCAATTTCTTTATTATTCTACTATTAATTTTTTTACTTATCCACATGAAAAATGGAACACTAAAGAAAATGAATTCTGACGTGAATCAAAATAGCCTTCAATATTTACATATTTTATTTTTCCATACTAATACATATATAAGCTGAGTTTCTAAGCTTCACAAGTTCCTAAACTGATGAATTGTTTTCAACATTGCTATGACGGGGCAGTCGACTTTATTAATTCTGAATTCTGGAGATCGTCATATCGTAACACAACGTATCTAACGCAAATCTTCACTGCAAATCCGTGATTTGACATAATTGATTTAGTACAAATAGAAATACCAATATAATGTAGGGTTCTAATATAGTTCATATTACCCACCACATATTAGGCTTGAATTTTTAATGCATAATGCCTTTTTACTAGCAAAGCATTTTAACCAGGGCTGAGCGTGATAAATCGATGAGTTCTTTAAATTGTTTTTGTTTATTTTGTATCTACATTCAATAATTTTGTATCAATTTAAAAAAAAAAAAAATTATTTGTTGTTGTTTACTGTTTATTTAATTTCCTACTAAAACAACCATTAATTTTATGCATATGAAATATTCAAGAACCCAAACAAATCATATGCATTTACAATGCTAACAACAACAACACACACCAAAATTATGAAACTAAACACAGACATTTTTTGCTTAGCAAACAACAGCACTCACGCGAGTCCACGAGTCTTTCATACTCATCTGAGTATATGCTATGAGTCATGAATCATACGTATTCATGTGAAGATGTTTGATTAGCACCGGCATTTGTTTAAGAATATGCTTATGAATATATGAGAAAAATATTTATACTCATTTAGATTTGAATTTTTATGAGTGAAACTCTGAGTTGTAAAATTATGACTCACTACAGTTCTCTGGTTTACAACCACTTTAGATACATTGGCTACAATTGCTTCCAATTAGTTGAGACTTTAAAAAAATATTTTTTCTGTAGTCGGACGAGCCAAAATAATTAATTAAAATTACAAAAAAAAATTGTTTTGAACTCTTTTATTATAATAAATAAATATATTATGTATATTATAAAAATACTGTTTACAAATACAATTTAATATTATTTACAATGGACCCAATATTGTCTATATATTAGACATATGTTCTCGAATATAAATATTTTATTATATATGAATATCGATTATATATATGTATTACGTATATATATACACACATATATATATACAATATAAACAATATATACAATATAGAAAAAAGTAAACACATATATACAAATATATGTATATATATATGGTATATATATATAGCTATATATATATATGTATATATGTATAACAATATTACATTTAATTTTGATTCATTATGATTTATATGTATATATTATTAAAGTTATAACAATTTTAAATGATTTCTTTTATAAATATACGGGTATATATATATTATATATTGAATATATGTATATATATATATTTATTTGTTTTCTTGTATTTTGTTTTATATTAAAAAAAATGCAAATTGATTATTATAAAAAAATTGAAATTTTGTACAGAAAGTATTACTTTACATAATGATTTATTTACATTTTTATTTTTAAATATTTTCAAACGTTAATATATTGTAATAAACACATTAAAAAATACATATGTACATAAATTTGAATAAAATGAAATAAAATATATTTTTAAAATAATTTTAATAATATTCCAACTATTTTTACATATATTTATTTATTATTTTATTTAAAAAAAAATTATGTTTATATATCATGCATATTGTTTACAATTTCTTAAAACAAAAAAATTTTATAAAATATATTGCGCTTATATTATTTATTTATTATATAATTAAGTACCGAATCACATCACTGTTTCAAAATCACTACTGACTGTCTATACCATCACTAGTATCTACTGATGGTAACTATTTGCAAAAGAAAAAAAAATCTACTGTTTATTTTATTCACTCTCGCTATATATAACATATTACTATATATATTTAATACATAATCTTATACCAATATATCTGAGTTATTATATATTAATATATATTATACATGACAGTGTGAACCAACAAAATAGAAATAATATCTCTAATCCCATTCAACTTTTCTTCAAAGACATTCTCTTTAATAATTATTTGTTCTAAGTTTAAATATATATATTCATAGAAGACGCTGTTTGGATGATAATAATTAGGCCTATATGTACTGAAAATATATATAGCAAAAGCTATTTGAAGAGTACATTTTATGCTACTGCTATGCATACCGAGTGCGGTACTAGCATCATCGTTACTAGATAATTCTTATAGAACTTCTACTTCTAAACTAAGCAATGCATCGTAAAGTTTGTTAAGACATCTTTATAATTTTCAATAATGCTGAAACATTCAGAAAAGTTTTTATTTTGGGTATATGTCAATCTATTAGATCTGATTTAGCTCTTCTCTATTAATACATTCTTCCTATTTTTATTTTTGGTTTTCTCTCCCTATTTCGCCTTTTTCATCTCTCTCCCCCTGAGAGATTAAATATTTCTCTATATTTACTTTATTCTTCTCTCTCTCTACCTTTACTTCTACTTATTTCACTCCATTGCTTTATTTTTTTTCTCATTTTCCTTCTCTATTTCTCGATGCATTATTCTTTTCTGTGTATTTCTCTCTTTTACCACTTTTTTTCTTTCACTATCTTTTCCACTCTCTTTATTTTTTTCAAACTCTTCCTTCCTTTACTTCCCGACTCTTTTTTACTCTCTCCGTCTCTCTCTTTCTTCACCCCTTCCTCTTTCTCTTCCTCTCTCTCCACCTCTATCTTCCTCCATCTCTAAAGGAAAGAATTTACAGATTTTAAATATATCGTCGCCATGGACTATATACTTTTTTATTTGCAAAATACAGCTATCGTATTAGTTGTAAAATTTATATTAAGATTTGGTACAAACTTATCTATTCTGTGCTCTTTCGGGTCCAAATTGAAAATTCTCGTTCAAAACAAAGTATATTGCCATCTTACTTATACTATCACACCTTTAGTTCGATATACTAATGTGTGTAATATTTTCTCTATCCTTTATTCTTTTGTTCGATTTTCTTTTAATTTTTCTTTACCTTTTTGTTACTAAATTCAATACTCTCTTGCTAACTCTATATAACTCTATATATTCGTCTCTCTTCATATAGATAATTTAATGAATTGTTTTCGATTTTTTGTAATTTAATTGTCTTTATTTACTTTTCTTCTACTTTTTTATCTGTAAACCTTATACTGTTCCCTTCATGTTCCTATTAAATTATTTTAGATTAAGATAGTAATTATATTAGTATCTACTAATTATATTAGTATCTACTTTATTTTTTTGTGTCTACCAACTTGGGAATTATCTTATTCACAGAATTAAGAATTTTACTCTTATTATTACAGTCCATATCTCGTATTTTTCTTCTTCTTCTTAATACATATTCTTTTATACATAAATTTCTTTTTCATCTTCCAACTTTAACAAAATTTCCTTCTATTTGTTTTAAACTTAATAATTGTATTTATTTTCTAAAAATCTTATCATTCTGTATTTGTCTTTATTTTGGTATTCGTATTTATTTTTCCCATTTTTAATTTCTGATATGTTATCTTTACCATAGTTTATAATTTATATATCTATGTTATCCCCTTCTACTCTTATCAATTCTTTTGACAAAGATTTTATACTTTTAATATAATTCCTATATATCTGGAGGAGTCTTTCACTCGTTAACTATTGCCGTCTCTTATTAAATTTCTTTTTCACATTTTACTGGATATTATTTCTTTCCTTATCTCATACTTTAAGCATTATATTGAAAATATCTTGTCTTTCACCAATATATCTCTCAATGCTTTTTTTGCAATTTCGTTTCCTCTCTTATTAAATTTATTATTTCACAATATTTTGCCTATATATTCATTTCCTTATTAAATTTTTTGTTATTCTTTCAATAGTCTATTGATGTCTTCTTCTTTTTTTATTTATTTATAAAATATGTACTCCGATTTTTCTAAAATCGTCTTTTATATAGTTTCCTTTTGTACTCTCACTCTTCACACTTCAACTTCGCTCGTTATATTTTGTTAATGCTGCGCTTTACTTATTCATATTTTTCAGAAGATTTGATCCATAATCTATTTACTTGGTATCCTGATTTTAAATGATCGTCTATAACATGTTTTGGCTTGCTTCTGCTTATTGCATTATAATTTCTTCAAATCTTGCTCTTTTGGTACACCAAAAAAGTGCACCTTTTCCCAATGCAAATAGATCTTTTTCATTGTGATACCACTTGCTCAACGTCTTTTCTCGTATAATATATTGTAGATGTATTCATGTATTACACTCCTTTCATTTGACTACATTCTTTTCTGTTTTAACCTTCTATATAATTTTGTTTAAAAAGGAAAAGTCTCTATTCAGCTTAATCTCCAGTCATCTCTTTTTCTGCTAGCTAATATAATAATTATACTGTTTTTCTTAAGGAAAACTATTCGAAATTATATTGTCTGTATTCTTACCTACAGACTTTTAGAATATTACTTTTCCAAGATCTCTTCTCTTTCTAACTTTGTTTTGCTTGAGCTCTGTAAACGATTACTCATTCTTCCCTTACTATTCCAAATATTTCCTATCTAACTTCATTTGCTTGTACTCTTCAAACCTGCAACAAAATTACACGAAAAACTCGCAAAGAGCAGAAAGAGATGTGCAAAAGTAGTACCTTCCATTGGAACCATTATATCAGTTATATTTATTACCAGCATGTTTCATAATTTTTTGCCTTCTTTATAATTTTCAGCCTTAATTCATACGTTATCGATACAGCTGCCGCTTATTCATCTTACCTGTTCTTTACTTCCAATTGCTTTTATTTATATATTTTAAAGTCTATTTTTATATCTATAGTTATATAAATATATACAAATGGATCTGTAAGTAACCATCTATCTATTTATATATGTAAAATAATACTACTTAATAATGCGTATACCAACACTCTATATACTCATTTATATTATCTGACCGTTTACTATTACTTCATCCTCTACATTATCTCATCTTCAAACTTTTGTGCGTAATTCCATTTTCTTTAAGATCATCTATTCCCAAGTTCCAAGTTCTCTAACAATTTATTTACTTAAAAGAGTTTTCCTCCAATATCATCCTCCTACTGATCCTACTTTTCCACATTTTTCTTCTTTCTTTTCTTCTTATTTTCCTCCTTTTTTTTCCCTAACAGTATTTTTTTCTTCTTTTATTCTTTTCCTTGTTTCGATTTTCATCTCTCTTATTTTGTCACACCTCATCTTCTTTTTATATTTTGTATGTTATATATTTTTTCATTTCTCCTTTCCTAGTTTTCCTAGTTCTTTCTCCAATCCAAATTGAAAATAATATTTTTTATACACAATTAAAACAATATCATTAATTGGAACAAAAAAAAAACTTACATAATGACTATCTTTTATGTTTCATGTCTTACTTCACACCTATCTCAATAATTCTACTAACTACTTTCTCCCTCCCTACTGCTTTCAATCAAGTTGCTTTCCTTCATCCCGATTTTTACGAAATGATACCGAATGTATCAATAGTGGCGGTAAATTGCCGCGTAGCATTTTCAAACGCTTGCTCTTCTCCTTTTCCGGACGACGCATTTCTTCCTTTGATGAATTGACTGAGGCCAGCGAAGAAGCAGATAATATTTCAGTGCTTTGCGCTAACATAGCAGAGCGACGGAAATAACGTGGCATGGAGTAATCATCCTGTGTGGCACGTGCTGCATTTGTTGCTTGTATGGAATACAAACTTTGTGAGACGCGATACTCTTCTATGGTAGGTGTGTCCTCATAGTTCTTCGGTAGATTGGAATATGAAATAGATGGCACTTCAGGTGTCATACTGATCTGACCAACCGAACCGGTGATAGAGAAAATATCGGTTTCGCTTGCAGCTGCGCGTACATTGAAATGTGGTACGCTTTTAGCGCTACGTAGCGTGCGTTTCGGTGTCGCGTTACCACCACCATATGGCATTAAGTGTTGGTGGCGATCAAAGAAGCGAGGACGTAATATTACTTCATCGGTATCGTTGTCACTGGAAGCATTAGCACGTTGCACGACTGCATTCTTTACTGGTGGTTCTTCTGATTTTATGATATCTGTTTCGGTCTCTTCTTCGGCGATGGCAGCAAACTTTTTCGGCGTAAGTATTTGACTGCCCTCTGGTGATGAATCGGTGGTAAGTGTGAATGTAATACGTTTCTCTGCTGTTGTTTCATGTGAAGCGGCAGAAATAGGTGTGACCGTTTTTGTTGCATCAGGGACATCGTTATGAAGATTAGCTATGAAAAGAGAAAAAAATTGTTAGTTAACAAAATAATAATTTTGTAACAAAACTTTAATGAAGCTCAACAAATAGAGGAATATTTAATAAAGATATGAAAACAAAAACATAGGAAATCATTCAAAACCTGGGCAGGATATGGGCTGAGTATTTTAAACCGTATTACTTTGAAGGAAAGAATGAAGGACATTGTGTGGAACGATTATTGTTACACAAAGTCGTTATGTGAATACATCTCAAGGATCGATCATTTAAATATTAAATAAATGACGGACTAACCAAAGCTAATATACTAAAATCTTTCGTTCTACGCTTAAGAGTATCGCCCCTTCTTACTTAAGAAGGACAAATCTTGAAGGTTCTAAATGCATAGCTTACAGTTTTAAAGTTACTGTAGGGGTGATTTATTCAAGGTCTGATTTGCTAAGAAATTCTTAACGTCATTACTACACAGAACACAGCACATAACAGTTATGATAGCAACATTACTTGGAAAAGGAGACCCTAGAACAGAGTTTAAAAATTTTCTCTTATTACAAATACTTTTGAAGATGTGCCGTCATCTACGATTGTAGTAAGTAGTAATTTCGTAACATAGTCTGAAAAGAAACTGAAACGAATAGATATACTATTAAGGCCTAAAAGCCATTAAAATTCTCCTTAAGTACGTACTGGGAAAAAATAGAAAAGTCATTGCTTGTATATTGTAGAACCCTTCATCTTTCGAATATTAAACTTTACCAATTTGTTAGAATAAGTTTTTTTAAATATTCTAAACAGTTTTTCTTTCTTTATGACGTTTTGATAAAGAATAAAATCAACTCCAATAAAATAAATTTTTCCAAATTATTTCGAAATTTTTTCTTGACATCATATTTTCAAAAAGAGTGATCAGAGTGATTTCGGATGTGATCAGTTAACCTAAATAGCCTTACTTAACAAATATGGAAACTATTAGATTTAGTGAGAGCTAGTCACAAATACAGACTAGAATGTTTATATAAGTCAAGAATCAAAAACTGCTTTATCTTAAACCACGTGGCACTTCCCGCTAACACTTAACACTTAGTGATCATAAAAGACTTAAGACGTATTCACTTGAAAAGGTCATATCACCTAGGACGGTATTATAAAAAAATAGAAAATAACTTATTTGTTAGAAGTTTCAGTTCTAGTAATTAGTCAAGTAATAGTACACATAATATAAGGTTAGTCAAGAGAGAGGTTAAATTTGTTATAGAATTAACATACAGAGGACACACAAAGATACCACCGAACACATACAACTCACTTAAATTTTGTATTAAGAAGTCAATTATTGTCAATGTTCTAATTACTTTTGAGACCATCTATGATTTTTGCACTAATAAATTTTGTAGGCTAAAAGTAAATATAAAAGGATACTATCTGTTATTTAAGATTATTAAATGATATGTCAGATATAAATTCAATCATATAGTATATGGAACCACTTTAAGACTTAGGATTATAATAGTTTAAGTGTGCAGAAAAGAGGAAGAAAAGTTATATGAAATGTGAACAAAAGAACGAGAGGAATTAGGACATGAAGAGTAGGATCTGTAAATATGGTCTCAGAAATTTTTAACAAAGATTTTATGATATATATAAGTATTTGAGCAGTCAAACTGCTTAGCCAGGGAGGAAATTTAACAACTTATAAACATATGGAATTCCGGGAATGGGTTCAGAAAACGTTAAAATAAGAAGCATTCAAAAAATAGCATATGTGGAATTAAGATTATAGAAACTTATGAGAAGAATATGGTACGAACTTTAAGAGTTTATAAAGGAAAGTTAAATACAATTCCTTTTTAGAAAGGTACAAGATTGTGTAAAGTCAAATCTGATATATAAAAATGAAACTTTTGTATGTATGTGGCCTAAAAACTCAAAAAGTAATTTATGAGTTAACTTGAAGTTTCTGCACATCGTTGTATTTTTATGTGTAGAAAAGTTCTTATATTTGTCTTTTATATTTTAATAAGTTTTGATAATTTAATAAATAATAAATACGATAAAAACTTAGTTGTATTAGGATTATCATTAGGACTAGTTCAGATGAGTTTGTGCCTATTCTACAAAATAATGTTCCAGAAATATGCCTAACATCATAATTAATTAATTAACATCAACATAATTTAATATAATTTAAATTACTTTAACTATTATTATTTAAACAAGGTGTTTCTGGAGACAAAAAAATCGTATGTCGGGACGAGTTGATGGGTCATTTTGAATTATGTACATCAGGATCAATACCTTATATACCAATTCCTTATCATTTTTCAAATATTTTATATTTAAAAAAATTTTATATTTTATGCTCCATTTTGCTAGCTTTTATCACAGAAACATACTACCTACCGTTTTGTTTTTTTTTTTTTTTTGTTGAAACGCAAAAATTGCTGCCAGAGCGTATGAGTAATAATTAAAATATATATGTATATATAGTGCAGTTCTACCAAGAGGATGGACAGACGGTACTACGGGTTTACTTTTGATAACATGGATGAAATATTTTCATAAATTCTTTGACTGTTATTGAAATTTAAAAGAAAATGTTGCAAACAAATATGTAAATATACCAGAAGAGTAGTTAGTTTTATATTTATAACTCATGATAAGAAATAAGTTAAGACAGCAAGACTCACAAGTTTATTCGAAAAGATGTCATAATATAAATGAGTGAGATTTGGATAATATTAACCCTTAGTACTTCACAAATTATAACCTGCAGCGAAATTTTAAACCTTTGGTTATATTATATACAGATTTTATATGGTTTTAAATAAGTATTAACATAACGGGCTAATAGACCAAACTGGATTCTTCGGTACGCCGGTACCAACATTATGTCCAAAGTCCGCTTTATCTGTTTCTGGGTAAGAATAAAGACAATAGGCCAGATTTCTAAAGTCTATATATTGGAAAATGAGCTTTTCAAGATGAAAAAGAATAATTCGAAAAATAATGTTTCTGGGTAAGAATAAAGAGAATATACCAGATTTCTAAAGGTTATATATTGAAGAATGGGGTTTTCAAGATAAAAAAGAATATTTCAAACAATAATGTTTCTGGGTAAGAATAAAGACAATAGGCCATATAACTAAAGGCTATATTTTGAAGAATGGGCTTTTCAAGATGAAAAAGGATCATTCGAAGAATAATATTTCTGGGTAAGAATTAAGACAATAGGCCATATCTCTAAAGGCTATATTTTGAAGCATGTTTCTGGGTAAGAATAAAGACAATGGGACATATCTCTAAAGGCTATATTTTGAAGAATGGGCTTTTCAAGACGAAAAAGGATAATTCAAAGAATAGTTTTTTTTAGTTTCTATGCTATATAATGATTCTATAATATTATAACGGTTAATTCGTACGCCTAAAATTATTGCTTCGTAATTGGAATAAAAAATAATCAAGTGAACACAGTAGTGTAATAACGGTTGGATTATGTTAACAATAATACTGTTAATAATAATTCTTTTCCGTTATTCATCACATAACGTATCGATACATTCTAGAGATTAGAAGTGGAACTAAGAACTGCGAAAGCTAAGAAAAGTTAGCTTTGATCTTATCAAAAATTTAATACTCCTCATTGCTACTTTACTTAGAAAGTTTTTAAAGTTCCAGTTAAATTTATGAACACAAATATATTATTAACAAAGGTTTTCATTGGATGGTATATGATATACTATACCATTTCTAGACATATACCAACTTAATCTATATGCAAGGTCTTGTTTAATTACCCTTGTCAGAGAGTGAGTAAATTAAAAGTATTCAGAAAAAAGGTTGGATCATCAGAATATGATTATAAACACAAGTCTTCATTTTATTCTGTACTGTATTAACATAACGATATGCACAAGTTGGCTTTATCTAGGATGGCTGACAAATTCGAGACAGTATTGTTTTTGACGGTTTTCAAATTTGAAGATATTCTGTTATCTGGTCTAGCATGTAGAGAAAAAGGTTGAGTAATAAAAAAGCACTTTTTATTGTTCGTTCCTACGTAATACTTCCTTTTCAATAAAAAATTTGTTAAGCCCTCCTTGCTAAACAAAAGTTAGGCCAGCAGGTCTAAAATACTTTAATTTGAAAAGGTTCATATTGAACTTTTAAGCCATGCGGATGATAGGGTTTAAAGTTATCTATAGAGAAACAAAAGACCAGCATTGAATCAGAGGAATAAGTAAAGACAATGTAAATTAACACATTTGTGAATATAAACTATTAGACTCGAATATATTAGATGTACTCAGGCTAATATCGACATATACGGTTAAAATATGGGTGAGCTAAGATTAACATAACTAAACAAAGAATGGAGATTACTATTTCCTTTTCTTTGTACCTATCCAAACAAGACTCATTAGTCTGGTTGCAATCGATTTTCATAACATTCGCAATGCATTTGTCTGATAAATCACACAAATTAAGCATTTTTATACATAATCTCTTTTATGGCAGCTGAGAATGTGATTGAACCAACACGAGTCCAACTTTTTTCAATTTTTTCTTTATGTGTATATGTTAACGAAATTTAGTCCAGCAAAATCTTCCAAAGATCAAAACCGTTTACAAAGAATCTCCATTCCAAATACTCTTAGCACAAACTTTAAATACTGGACCTGGACAACCAGGTCCATAAGAATTTAATAAAATCGGTCACACCGATTTTATAACATAATTAAGAATTTTGTGTCCTAGGACAAAAAAATCTATTTCGATTGGAAAAGGATGGTAATAACGAGAAAATCTGTGATTCTTTGACCTACTTAACTAATAATTAAGTTTAGATATTACTGGATTTCAAATAACCCAGTCAAACTTATTAGCAGTTTTCTAAATAATGGAGACTAATGATAAAATCGAATGTCACTGCTTTATAATAAGAAAAGCTTAAGTTACAGTATTACGCAGAAATCGAAAGCCACATTTATCACCAGGAAAAGAAATTGATGCCCA